CCGCTATAAACTTTCCCTGGCCTGGCCTGGCATCTTTTTCCCTTTCAGTGGTATGGATAGTGTGGCCTATGAAGGGGTGGGAGGTTCCACGGAGGGGGCAGTCGGTACCCAACTGTGGTGATTTTCCGTTTTTGTGTGCAAAAGAATACCTGGTAGTCCAGGACTCAGAGGTAAAGGGACAGGGGAGGGGGAGGAGGCAGGAGTGGTACAGGCCAAAAATTCAACCTGGGTTCATCTCATGCGCCTGAGGGGCAAAAGAAGCAGAGAGACCCAGTTTATATGCTTGGGTTCATCTACATGCGCATCTCAGTGATCATTTTCTTTCCTTCGCCCTCACCTCCATTGCAGCATGGCCCTTTGTGTCCCTTCAGTGGAGCAGCGACAAGGGGGCCAGAATAACGACCACTGAGCAGCTATGTACGGAACAACGAAACCAATTTTTCAGATGAGCACTGTGAATATGCTTCGCTGACTGGAAGCCCCATCCTAGACGCCCGGTCTAGGTTTAACAGAGGGGCTGCGACCGTCTTCACCCGAATAGAACCCCCGGTCATTATCACTGTATCTAGACTGAAAGTTGCACCAAATACAGCTATAATGACCGGGCGTTCTACTAGGGTGAAGACGGTAGGGTATAAAGCACCACTCTCTCTTGACATTATCAGCAATCGAGGCTTTTCGACTAAGAGCCCAAAATTTTCGTCCGCAACAAGTTCCTCTCATGAAGATGATCCAACAGGGCAGCTCAGCCGCTGCAATTCTCTATGATGGCTTTCCTAAAAGCCTGCTCTGGGCTTCTACTGGCCTGCTCCACTGGCCACTGGGCTGCTACTGGTCTGCTCCACTGCCCTCAATACCCGAGCGGAGTCCGGGCGGTCACTGATATACAAGCGCAATCGACCGAACCAAGCCCCGAAAGCCAGGGTGGTTTATCGTCTGGAATCTTTGGATTGTGGCGGCAGCACCCTAACCACTTTCCTATTCTGTGTAACCCTCAAGGGAACGTTAAAGCAGAAACAGATTAAACTTTCACCAGGGTAGGACGGGTATCGCCAAACGGAAATTGGACCCTTCCCACGCAAAAGCTAGAATGGCTACCTTAGCTTAAACCATTAGTACTTGGCCCATACACCGGCCGCGGGGCTTTGTCGTTAGCGCCCCGCAACTTCCGGAGGCTCGGGGTATCGGCCCTCAAAGCATGGCGCCGCCAGCCAAAACAAGTTTTTCTTGTTGCACTGGCGGGTCAGCGCAAAACCTGTACAATCATCATCCTCCTCCCTCCTACACCCTCCTCCCCACCTCTCCCTACCCTCGTATGTCTCCTCCTCTCTCTCTATCTGTTATTACTTCATCACCATCCCTTCCTACGCTGGCATCACCTGTACAATTCTTACCGTGGTTAGAATATTCTTCGCATCACCTGTACAATTCTTACCGTGGTTAGAATATTCTTCGCAGCATGCACACAAGGCGCATCCATTTACCCACGGCACGCCCTTCAGGCAAGGAGAACTTACTGCTAGCCTTCTCCTCCCCCTCCTACACTCCCATCTTTCTCCTTCCCCCGCCATAACCGGAAATGCAGTCACAGAACCATACACCACGTTACGTGTTCTTTACGCCCGAAGGAGGATCATCAGGCAGTAGAAAGATCAGAGAAGTACTATTTCAGAGTGCACGGCAGTCTTACAGGTAGCGCAGTAGGAGGATCATCAGGCAGTAGAAAGATCAGATAAGTAGTTCAATGTCTGACGGCGGAAAGGTACCAACGAAGAGGACAGCAGTCCCATCATCAGGACATTACGCGAAGGTCTAAGAATAATAATGCATGCACAGAGAGCAGCCACGACACTTGCAACAGGGCAACAGCCGGACAACAAATAAAAGAAAAGAGAAAGGGGACGCAAAAAGTGAACAACAGCCGTGCAATACCCAGTCTCGCATGATGCCTGCCTGACAATGATCCCACTAGTCCCGCAACTCTTGCACTTCAATGAACCAAAGCAGGCAGAACATCTTTCCAGCTTTCAGACTCGGCCAAATTTTGACATACATGACAAATCGCATTATGTGGGCAGTTGCACCTTCCTTCCCTCCTGCACATCAAGACCGGGCCACTATCGCACTAAATCGCAATCGCGCTATTACCCTCCGTCCGTCCGCACTATTACCGTTCGTCCACGAACCCAAGCAGGCAGACCACAGTTCCACCTTTCAGCCTGGGCTAATTTTGACATAAATCGCATTGTGCGGACACTTGCACCTTCCCTCTTGAACATGGAGAATGGGCCACTACCATCGTTCTGGTTGAGGCCCAGGCCGTAGCCTGCTCATCCAAGCATGCCCACGGGAAACCTTCCCCTCACTGGTGCTGTGTTCATGCATTTGTGGCCAATACCGACTCTGGGCTCCGCCAATCGTCCTTCTGACTGAATCCCAGGCCATAGCCTGCTCCTCCAAGCATGCCCACGGGAAACGTTCCCCACGCCTGGACACCGACTCTCGGCTTCGCCGAGCTCCACCAATGTTCCATCGAGCTCCACCAATGTTCGATTACCGCACATGAGGTAACAGCCATCTCCCCTCCTATCCAGATCTGCAAAATGAGGAGATTCACCTAACGCACAGGAAGCCTGACATGCGTGAGACACATCACTGGTGATGTGTTCATGCATTTGTACCGTATTTATGGTGAAGTCCGTGCTGATCGTGCAAATGTGAAGCGCATACGCACTCACCTATCTACTGGACTGGAAGCTTTGGGAGTCTGGGGATGTAGGCAAGGTAGTAGTGGTACATACAGAAGAGGCTAACAGGAGGCCGGAGTCGGATGGCTATGGTGTTGAGCACTTAGGCTGTTTGGGCAGCCGGGGACTTCCTCCAGAGTCCATACCATACCTTCGACCTTTCTCTGCTCTGGCAAGACTCCATCTCCCTCTGTTCCGCCATCTCCCTCTTATGGATACCAATCTATACAGCGGTGCAGCAGGCAGGGCTCTGTCTGTACTACAAGCTACACGCCTGTACAACGTAGCGCCATCTCCCTCTTATGGTTTCTAGACCCCAAGGTAGCGGCATTTTGGCCTTGAATTCAAGCCCAACGTCCCTCGCTACATGCCTGCACACTAAGCCTGACAACATAATGGTGGATTAACCCCACGTATGACAGAAGTCCCGACCCGGCCCCGTTAGAATGTATCTGCATGATCTGCACCGTAATGGTGCTCGTGTTCAGACACACTCTCACAGGGCAGCGGAATCACTTTCATAAACATCACCGGCGAATTTGGTCCTCGCCAGTAATGGAATCATGAAGTCCTGTGATGACACGGTCAGAACGCTGGTCGTAATAAGTGGCAAGTGCATGCTCCTCCCGTTTACACGCATCTACTCGAGTCTCGACGGAGCATCAGGGATCTCTCTCTCTCTCTCTCTCTCTCTCTCACACACACACACACACACACACACAAACACTACATATTGGGCACACACACACTCCCTCATACACAATATATTGGAGTCCTCTGAGATCCCAGGTACTCCGCCACACACACGCCCACACGCACACTCCCGAGAGCCCAGTCGGCCTCTCTCTCTCTCACACGCGTCAGCACTCTCTCTCTCTCTCTCTCTCTCTCTCTCTCTCTCTCTCTCTCTCTCTCTCTGTGTGTGCGTCAGGCTTCGACAAGCTAGGGCTTACTTGCATATGGACACACGACACAGGTACCATTCGCACACCGACATGCAAACACAAAAAGATGCCCACACACACACACACACACACACACACACACGGACACGCGCACGCACACACATACGCACACGCTCACACGCGCGCACACACACACGGAGCGCGACACACGGACAAACAAACGAGCGCACGAACACACTAGGTAATCTCCAACAACAGACACTGTGACGTTAACGTCTTTGCATTGAACTGAGTAATTGCAAACGCACAACACAGGTCGGCACTAACAAAAGATCATGACCCGTCCCCAGGTGAAAACCGGTATATGTCGAAGAACTTCACGCTTGCTTGCCTGCAAACGGCCACAAGTCTTTTCACCAATACAGTTTTTTTTAAATCTATTCCGGAAACCAATGAACATGGTCTCTAGTCAAATAAAACAATCGAGACAGGTCGCGTGATCGATCAACCAAATTCGTCAATCAACTAGCGTAAGTGTGAGGCCTGGGTATTTTGTTGTAGTTCAACTAAGCAGGCGCCTCCTCCTCCTCCTCCCCCCGCGGCCCTCTCCCCCAGGACGTATCAAGCATGAAGCATATGGACTTTTAATGGCTGCGCACCAACAATTACCTTCCACACAGCAACAACCCCCACAAAGTGGGAAATGCACCAGCTGTCAGCTATCGACCTTCCTACACACAACTTCCTTCGTCATCATATCTCACAAACAAGCATAATTACATCGTCGCATGCCATGGTCGTCCCTCAAACACATCATGCGTAGGTTAGTTTTTACTCTCTCTCTCTCTCTCTCTCTCTCTCTCTCTCTCTCTCTCACACACACACACACACACACACACACACACACACACACACTCAAGCCAAAAAGGAGATCACAACAGAAAGGAGGCACACACAACAACAGAGCGGCAGTCGACGACTGTCCAGTTCACGCAGGCAAAAAACGTTCGTAAGTGCTTTTATTGCCATGACAGAGCACATTCTGAATCCACCATCGCGATTCTCTTCTCGCTCCAAAAGTACAGTACGAGTAGGCTGCCGGCAGGCAGACAGGTGGAGAGACAAGCCAGTTGTCCCACAGACTGCGACCCAAAATATAATCTGTAAAAAGTGATTGACTGATTCCTTGTTTGATTAATTTACACCAGGAAGAACCCGACCAAAATCAGAACGAGTCCCCGAACGAAAAAAAAAGATCCTCGACTTCCACCTCCACTAATAGGCAGACGGCCACATCACTGCATGACCATACTCCAAAGCCGTATGTCTGTTCGTTGCCGACTAATCCAGGCGCACTCGTCCTCTCTCTCTCTCTCTCTCTCTCTCTCTCTCTCTCTCTCTCTCTCTCTCTCTCTCCCCATCGATCTCTGATTCCCTCTGCAGATGACCTCCCTTTTGAGTGAAAGACCAACTGCACGAACACCATCCGGCCCACAGGAAAGAGGCGCCGCCGGAACACGAGAGGGAGGGGTAAAAAGGGAGTAAATAGTGTGTGTGTGTGTGTGTGGGGGGGGGGGGGGTCCGTTTCTCCCCTCTTCACTAAGAGTAAGCGCAGACGAAAGACAAAGCGACCGCCCCGCCCAACTACCCTCTCTCACCCCAGTGCCGCCATCGACATGGAGAAACTCCCATCAATCAACCACCAAACAAAACTCCCTCTCCTCCTTTTCACAGCTTTCGTCCCTCTACCCTCCTCCTCTCTTGTTCAATCCTCTACTCCGAATACAGGATATGGATACGGCGTACCGAAAAAGACGGAAAGGAACGCAGCACTGAGAAGCTTTGGGAAGCGCCACGGGCTTTGCGGCATCCTTTGACGAACCCTCTCTCCATATATCGCCCTGCACGACAGCAAAGATTTTCGCAAGCTCACCCTCCCAGCTTTTGCGAACCCCTCACTCCCAATGGACATCGTCTTACAGTCGATTACTCAATTACAACGTCAACGCAACAACTGTAGTCTTCCAGGAGGTAGAACAGATCAGAGCAGCAGAGCCTGGGTCCTTCGGTCCTTCGGTCCCCCCCCGCTTGGCTTGCCATCGGACTCGCAATACACTTGCCGCACCTGTGCTCAACACGCACGCAAGCTGTAAAAAACCTATTACTGTAAATCTATCACCCCTACCACACATTACCAACGACCTGATGATAACCGAGAACTAAGACTACCGCTGCAACCCCTCAAACCTAACGAAGACATCATCGCAAAGACCACCATCACCCAACAAACAGGCCCTTTTCAGGACTTGATGGTCATCAATCAGCCGAAAGAAACCCTAGGGCAAAACCAGCTGTGCAGCAAACGACGCAAAACACGCACCCACCTTCTCCATCTCTCTCTTCTCTCCCTTCTACTAACCCTTCCCTTCGTATCTGCCTACGGGTCCGACCGATGACCATCGGAATCAGAGGAGCCTCCCCTCGAGTCACTATCGGAATCCGACGATCCCGACGAAGACGAAGACGACGACGACGATGACGAAGAGGAGGAGGAAGAAGAAGAGCCGCTAGTACTATCATCGGAATCACTACCAGAAAAACTTGAGCGCGAACGCGAATCGGAAGACTGCCCACGACATCCTCCTTTGGACGTCGACACGTGCGTATCTGTAGCCGCATCAGACACCACCCCGTTCTTTCTCCATACCATACCACGCCGATGATCGACGTGACTATCGTCCTCGCGTTCGTTCCTGCCACCACCACCATTTCTACTTCCATACCTCCCACGTCCTCGCCCGCCTCCCTCGCTAATCCCGTCGTCGCGTTCTTCCGTCGAGGCCGCATCCTCTCTTCCATGATACCCTCCACCGCCAGCTCCGTTTCGTCTTCTCCTCCTCCCCTTGGACGTCGAAGAAGGTGGTTCCGCCATCCCCCCCGCCGACGTCCCTACGGACTTAGTCTTCTTCATCAACTTGTTCTTGCTCTTCATCCAGTTGTTCACAAAGCGATACAGCTCCCACAACGTCTCAGCGTCCAACGCGTTTATATCTAGCTCTATCTCCTCTCTACCTTCGGCAACATTCGGGTTCCTCGACGAAATGATTTCCACTACCTTGAGAAGTCGGTCCTCGGGAAGCGTCTGAATGTTCTCGCTCAGCTTGATCTTCTCCTTGAAAGACAGTTCGCGCATCCCTCCGTACGCCATCGGGTTGCCCGAGCCCCGCCTTCTTCGCAGGGATGGATCGCTTGCGCCTCTTCCCCCTCGCTTCCTGCTGACTGTAACATCATCCGACGATAACTCGCCCCCTAACCCCTTCCGCGGACTGAGCACCTCATCACGGGACGCTGCAAAAGCCGCCGCCGCCGCGCACTCTCCTCCACCGCCCCCGCCTCGACCGTTCATCCGCCGATGATGTTCCTCCTCGTCGCCGCCGCCTTCGTGTTCCGACCGTTTGCCATGATGACGAGAGCGCAACCCGGGGGAGGACGACAGTTCGCCGCCGTCGCGCAGACCGCCCCCGCTGCTGCTCCCATCGCCATCACCATCGCCGAGTAGTTCTTCACCGTCCGATAGAGCCTTCTTGCTCCATCTACCAGGACGCATCGCTGACTGCTCACCTCTTCCGTCCGTTTGTCGGTGTTCATCGTCGTCGTCAATCTTCCTGTCCGGAGAGGAGTTGCCAGCCTCTCCACCGTCCCGCTTCGCCGCTTGGCCATAGGCGTATTCAACCGCGCCTTTGCCGCCCTCCTCTTCCTCCGACATCGAGAGAGAGCGCAAGGAACGGCGACTCTCCTCCTTGCGAACAGGACCTACCTTATCGTCATCCTCCTCGTTCTCCGCCCGCCCCTCCCTCGTCCTCTCGTTTAGTTCCAAACCCATCGCCTTCCGACTACGCCGCCCCCCATTGGTCGACCTACTGCTGCTGCCCTCCCCAGGTCTGCCTACCTCCCTTGCGTTGTCGTGAGCACGACCTTGCCCATCGACATCACGCCGTTCATTGCCTACAGCGCCGCCGTCAAATTCCAGCCTGCCAACGCCACACTCGTTGACGCTCCTCGTCGCTTCGTTATCCTCGTCGTCGCCATCTTCCTCGCCGTTCCCGCCGACAGGACCCGCCTTCCCCCGCCTACCCGCAACCTCCCCGTCCCCCTCCGCTGAAGTCGGCGGAAGAGGTGGCAGCGGCGGCGCCCCGAGCCTCGCCTCGTCCTGACCCTCTCCTTCCGACCCCGACTCCGCCCTCCCGTCCTGGGCGGGTCTTCTTCCATCGTCGCGATTCCCCGCTTGCCCATCCGAGGCCTCGCGCTTCTCCGGTGCACCTTCCGCCTTATTGACAACAACATCCTCCTTCTCCTCTCTCTTCTCTCTCACGGAAGAGCGCTGCTGTCCTTCGGAACCGGCCCCCCACCTCTCCTCCATGCCCCTCAACCTAGGGCTCTCTCCTTCTCCGTCCCCTCTTTGCTTCGACACCTCTTCCATTCGCCCCTCCATAGCGGCGCCGCCGCCGCCGCCCGCACCGCCACCGCCAGCGGCCGATACACCCGCCGCCGCCGTTGTCATACGGTTGCTCCCCGACAACTCGCTAACTCGGGAGCAAGGGGAACGCCCTGCCCCGCCTCCAGAAACCGCCGCTCCATCTCCGCTCCCCCCGTCCGCCGCCGTCATGGCGGCAGGGGAAGCCCCCGCCGCACTCGTCTTCAACCCCTGCTTTCCCTCACTGGACTCGTTCCGTTCTCCCTGCGAAACCCCCCCTCTGGGCGGCGCGATGTGCGAACGCCCTTTGGCTCCCGGCCTTCCCGTCCCCGACCCTTCTCCCTTCTTGTCGCCTGCAGAATGCTGCTTTCCCTTAGATGACGACAGCCCTAAACCCGAACGCGAACCCGGCCCTGGTCCAGGAAAAAGAGCCGGCTGGGAGAGCATATCATCAATCCCTCCCCCACCTCTACCGTCGCCCTCCGCGCGGCCGGGATGAAGGAGGTCGCCCCCGGAGGAGTGACCTCCGGGAGGCTTTTCGCCCGCCCTCTCCGCAGAAGAAGGATGAGCTTCTTCCTCCCTCTTCCTCTTTCCACTCATCGCGTTCACCGGCTCTGCGTTGCCAAAGCCGCCGCCGTCGTCGTCGAGTCCGCCCCTTTTCTTCGCCGCACCCACCCTCGCCCGGTCGTTCGTATATTGCTGTTGTGCAGCTCCCGTCGGCACTTTCTTGTCCATGCCATCGGCTGCCACACCACCACCGCCTCCCGTCCCCAGTTCTTTCCTCGGCAGCTGTAACCCCGACATCGCCCTCAAGTTCCTCTCCGTCCCTACCAAGTTCCTCTCCCTCTCCGTCACAGCTAAGTTCCCCGCCCCTGCAACTCCCCGCCCCTTGCTCCCTCCTCTCCCAACACCCCCCGCTCCTCCTCTCCCTTGCTGCGCGCCTTGAGGAGAGGACGCGCCGCCTCTACCACCTGCAAGCACTTGCACACGCTTCGGAGGCTGCTGCGGGCGCGACAGAACACGCGGACGCATTTGAGCGAGATCGTGCTCCTCCGCTTTCGTCTTGGAATCATGCTCCTCCATCTTGATTTTGATCACCTTGTACTTCTGGTCGAACTTCGCTCTCAGAGTGTCCGCCATGACATACACCTCGCTTCCCGTCATGTTGAACGTCATAGCATTGCTGAAGACGAGTCCGCAGTCTCGCACGAACTCCGAGGGATGGGAGTACTTATGTTCTTGAAGGCGGCTTTTGATCGTTCCGAAGTCCATCGGCTCTTTGATTACCTCCCTGTAACCGACGAGACCGGGCCATTGCACGGCGACAGGCGCAAGAAACGGCCAAGAAATCCTCGTGCTCATGGCCTGCTGAAGAGCACTGTTGCAAAGCTTCCAGATGCTCGACAGTCGCTTCTCCCTGTCACTCTCAATCTTCTGGCGCTTCGTCTCCCAATCTTTACCATCATCGTCCGGACACGACTCCAGTGCTGCGGCAGCCGAGGACGAGGCGGCCGCTTCGGTAATTGCCTGAGGCTCGTGCTCCGCCTTCCTCTTCTTGGGCATACCAACGGCGGCGGGCAGAGGCGTGGCGGCGGCGGCGGCGGCGGCGGCGGCGGCGGGCAGGGGGGCGACGACGGCAGTAGTGCCCACAATCGCATCGTTGCCCCTTGGCCCCGCGGCAACGCCCATACCGCCACCCCCTCGTCCTCCCCTCCCTCCTCCGCCTCCCCCCCTCCCCCATGACTCCCTTCTACCACCGCCCCTCTCCTGCCGTTGTTGCTGGGGGATTCTCCCTTCCTCCTCCATGGCATGTCCTCGTCCTACCTGCTGGCGCTGCTGCGGCCGCTGCTCGTCCTCGCCGCCGCCCGAGCCCTCCATCCTCCCCCCCGAACCTTCCACCGCATCACGTGGTCTGGAAGAACCGACAGAAGCGCCTGTCGTTTGCCCGCCGCCCCCTCGCCCGCCTCCTCGCCCACCCCTCACAGCACCTCCGTTAACGATCGGCGGGCCCCGCCTCCGCCTCAAAAGCGCATCCCCCGCCGCACTCCCTCCGTCCCCTCTCACTACCCGTCTCCACGACGCTCCGCTCGTCGGCGGACCTGTACTCGCCGGAGGACCCGCCGCTTCCTCCGTTTCTTCGTCCTCTTCCTCCTCCGCCTCCGTCGTCCCCACGCTCATCCTCGCACCAACCACCCGTCTTTCCTTCCGAAAACTCTCGTTTCCCTCCTCGTCTGCTCGTGCAGATGGCAGGGCCGCAGCGACCCCGTTGCCCGCCTGGGGCACTCCCCTCATCGGAGCGGAAGCCCTGTTCTCCTGATTAACCCTACTACTACCAGGATGATGATAATTGCTCTTCTCCAAGCGCCGGTTCCCGACCTCTTCGTGAACGCCAGGCGAGGTGCCCCCATACCGATGATCGAGACCGGTTGCCGAACCGGGTAGCTCTCTGTCCACGTCTCCCATCGCTCCTCCTCCTCCTCCTCCTCCTCCACCCCCCCCCCCNCCCCTCCTCCCCCTCCCCCTCCTGTTGGGGCTATCGCCGCTGTCCTCCTGGCAAGTGAACTGCGACCCCCACCCGTATTACAAGGGCGAAAAACTTCGGAAGAATTGTTGTTCCCCTGAGAACCCTGACAACCGGAGGATTCGAGAGAAAGGTGAGGGCCATGCCCCTGACCTTCGAGTTTTGAAATTAGCTGTCCCAGCCTCGCCAGCTCCGCCTTCAGCGCCTTCCGCTTCTCTTTCTTCGACAGATGAGTGACATCGCCGCCACTTCCTCGGTCGAGGTCCTCCCCCGAGGCGGAGGTGCCCTCCTCTTCCTTGCTGCCCGCGCCGTGGCGGGAGCGCATGGAAAGAGGATGGGCTTCTACGCCGCCGCCGTTCCATTCCCGCTTCACCTGCGCGTGCTGAGCTTGAGCGCCGGCGATGGCGGCCGCCGTCGAGGAGTGGACGACGGCCTGCTCGCCGCGGACGTCTGGCTCGCCGGCTGTCCTTCGCTGAGGAGAAGGGTTGTGGGGACGGCTAAGCAACCTCTTCTTCGGATTGATCGGTCCCTCAACGTCCGGTCTCGCCATAACCATACCCCTCCAACTCATCTCACAAGATCGAGCGAGCAAGGAGTGTGCGACGGCGTGCGACGGCGTGCGACAGCGTGGCGCGCAAGATTGGATGGGCAAGTGTGCGTGACGGCGTGGGAGAGAAAACTTTCGCTCGCGCGCGTGCGGGGACGAAGCATCTAACTGACCACTCCCTCTGGAACAATGACGCGTGCCAAGACGCGGGAGGCCACGTCAGCACCCCCCCTGCGGGGGCGCGACACACTATTCAGAAACACGTGAGCCGACACGTCATACAACCCCCCCTCTCCTCCTCCCTCTCCCCTTCCCCTCCTTCCCTCCTCCCAACCAATAGCCCTCAGCTATACCTCCCTACTTTCACCCTCGCCCACTTCTTATCCCTTCCTCCTACCTCTCTCTCCCTCCCTCTCTCTCGCGCGCGCGCGCCCGTCTCGTATGCTAGCAAGATGACTACGCGGTCTCCGTACGGACGTCCACATGGCGGCTAGCAATCGCACGACACCCTCCGTCCGATCGATCGACTCTTTTCAAACACCTTTGTGTCCATTTCCGGTCGGTCGCACACTAAATAACTGCCCAATAGCCGGGCAGATCCCCCACAGCGTGTGGACGCCCCTGACCGACGGTCGATTTTGTGTTCGGTCCCGGTTTGTCCCACTGCATCCAACGGACCGCGCTCGACCCGCCCCACTGTGGACAGACCTGGTCCATGCTCTCCACCGCCTCCCCCCTCTCTCCCCCCCCTCCCCCCCCTCTCCCCTCGTCTCCTTCGCCCCCTGGTACCCCGTCCGTGGCCGGCAATCAGCACCCCGTAGCCGATTATGGGGCTCGCCGAACCACTCGCCAAAAGCCAACATTTTCAATGCAAAGGACCAATTACACATCCAGGTGCGTTCAAAATGTTGGCCCCCTATTACTATGAAACGGCCCGACAGTGAAGTAATCCATGGACGGTCCCCATCGACCGCCAATTTTCTTTCTAAGCGCACATTTTTTTTTGCACATTAATTATTGTATTGTATCTCAAAACGGGGGCCCTTCAGCGCCAGGCGCAAGACGGCTATTTGCGCGCGCAACCCGCCGATGAAACGAATCTGGCCCGTCTCAGGACCATATTCCCGCGTTAGGTAGTCCTCTACACCACGAAGTCTGCGGCGCTGTGGCGCGCGTCCTCTACCAGTCGGTCGCGGGCAAAATAGTCTAGCCGCCTTTCGATCATTTTTGGAGCCCCGGGATCAAAAGGCCCACAGCGCCCGGCCAACTGGCGGGATTGCGGGCCCTCCTTCACGACGAATAGAGCACCTAATCCGGCCCAGATTTATTTCGGGAACTTCCGCAAGTCTCCCCCAGTGGGGCTTGACCGTCGCTGCAAGTTTCAGTTTTATAGACGGTCGCGCGCGCGAATGACCCTGACCCAATTTACAACCACAATTCATTCAGTCACGCACCTCCCCTTCCGCCCGTGCGTGCGCCCTCCCCTCCTCTCCTCTTCAACCCCGCCTCCCTGTTTTTGTTTCCACGCCCGGTGGCGTGCACCCACCAGGAAACTCCCTCACTGTCGTTTGAACGATCTTTCTTGGCACATTGGCAATTCCTCTAACATATACATATACATATGAATGATGGACAACGCACTCAGGCCCTACCGTAGTTGCACTACTCGCCATCCGCCAAGATTTCGAATGCATCTGGACAAAAATGATGTCCACATGCGATCAAAATGTTGGCGGATGGCGAGTAGTGCAACGAGACCCTCAATTGCCATTCCTTCGTCCTGGAAATGCGAACCTTGCCCCTCTGCTGGAGTGCACCAGATATCTTTGTGCCCCTCTACAGCGCGAATGTGGCGGCCATAACGTCCAGATACGTTCACACAGGGCCAAGCTTCGGATTCCGGCGGATTTTGTAAGTCGCAACTCCCCACACCATAACTGTCACTTGCTTGCGCTCGACGGCCTCGCTGCGGATAAGGGCGTATTCACACACATTTAGCTCTATGTATCTTTTCCACGGCCGCTCCTGGATCCATCTGGCTGAATCTGATCGCATTTAAAGCCGCTTGTGGACGCATCTGGCCCGAACTGCGTCCAGAAACGCCGTATAAGGCAACGAGGGGAAGCAGGCATGCTGTACTAAGCTACTGCTAGCACCCACCTGGTGTGTGTACGATCAGGTTCTTCGTGGCTTTTTCTTGGCGTAGACATGCCGGCAGCGGTGTCTCCACTTCGTTGCTAGTCGTGAGATCTTTCCCCCGTCAGCTCCACACCAGTGATAGTAACCCGCGGCATGGCCTGCCCGAAATTAGCAGCGCATATCCGTGTCGGAGAAAGGAGGAGAAAGGAAAGGAAAGGAAAGGAAAGGAAAGTGGCAGCAAACAGATATGGAGGGGTTGGCAACTTGGCAGTAGTAGTCATTCCGGTCTTCCCTTTCGTACCGGTAGCTTCGTCATCGTGCAAGCTGAGTTGGCACGCGGCATGCTTTTTTTCGTTCCTTTTTCCGTTTTGCGTTTCGTTTGCCGGTGAGAGAGTTTTGTGTTTTGTTTGCCGGTGAGGAGAGAGTTGTGTGTTTTGTTTGCCGATGAGAGAGGGCGGAAGGGGAGCGCGCGAAGGAGAGAAGAGGGGGTAGGGGGAACTGTGGAAGTGTGAAAACGAGCTTCAGAGGAGTGATGACGGGTAGGGCCAATGTGAACAGCGATTGGCGTTTGTTACGCTGCCAGAGTCACCCAGATTGAATCGCCCAACCAGAACTCATGGAAGACTTGTCCGAAAGATCGTGGGCATTCAGCCGTGTTCAGAACTCCGAGGCGTTCTGTACGTGAAAATACCGTCGAGTTCCTGAGGCCTCCGGGGGCTAGGTCCCACTTTGCACGAATTAAGAGATACTGACCGTAGATAGCAAGGATCAATGGCGGAAATCTCCTGATTTGCGCGAACGGGACCTTGCCCCGGACTTTGGTGGTACCGCCAAGGCACTAATCTGCGAAGGCAGGCAACCACCAGTGCGCCGCCACGGGGCCCATGCGCTCCACACAAGAAGCTGGCTGTGTTAGGGTTCGACCTATCGAGCCAAAACGCCGGCACTCGGTAGACCCCAAAGGCGGATGGTTTGATGGTCGAGGGGCAGCCAAAATCACACACTGGGGAAAGGAGGCTATAAGGCATGCCGGAGATTTGTTTGAATTAAATTGAGCGGTGTCGTCCCTTTTCGTTACCCTGTGCTGGAAACCGCGGGATGCTGACCTGGTAGGAGCTCCCCGTTCCCACTAACAGGTGGAGCCTCAGCAGAAACGAGTAGACCTACAGCCCTCTGATTCAACCTCACTACTGTGGCCTGCTCAAGACGATGCTCCACGGATTCAACTACTAGGGATTTCTCCGGAAGAAACTGGGCCCTGCAGGTCAAGTGGGTCGGACACCACTGGCTGACGTGGTAGCTTGGCAGAGTTCAGGTCCAGTAGCAGCGATGCCTGAGGGTTGGAGGAGTGGGAAGAACGCTGGGGTCAGTTGAAACTGACGTGGTCGCCTGACAGAGTTCAGGTCCAGTGGCAGCAATGCCTGAGGGTCAGACGCCGCTGTCTGACGCCAAGCCTTTGGAAGTAATTTTTTGGGACCCCACTGCTGGCGGCAAACGCAAGCATTTTGGTTTCTACTCTCCCTACCTCCGCCTTTTTCTGCATTGACTTGCCATGAGGGTGTGCAGCCCGTAGTTTGTCTGTTGATGCCGTTTGTCATGTTCGCTATACACAACTCCAAGGGGCTTGTTCCACACTCCTCGGGCGTGTAAAGTCCCCGAGGAATTGTTCGTTCCACCTATCCTCAGGGATGCAGTCGGGAAAAAAAAAGTGAAAACACCCCGAAGGAAATTCCTTGGGCTCCGAGGATTCCCCAGCCATTTCTTCCTTTTGCCCAAGGGACCTCAGGAATCTACGTTTCACGGAGAGGAGCGGGCACATGGGAAGAGAGACGTTACAACCGAGAATCTGTATCGTGGCAGCACCCTATTGGCTGAAGGCCTCAAACACATGTGATTTTTTTTTCCTTTCCTTTTTTCTTGTCTGACATCGTTCGAAGGAACTGTCCTCGGGCGGCGTTCCCAAGGACAGGTGGAACGATGGCGGGAATTTCCTTGAAAACCCCAAGGAAACTTCCTTCGGCCCCGAGGACGCCCCAAGGAGTGTCAAACGAGCCCCCAAGTGTGTGTGTGTGTGTGTGTGTGTGTGTGTGCGTGTGTGTGTGTGTGTGTGTGTGAGAGAGAGAGAGAGAGAGAGAGA